CAACCTCTGCGTGCGCCACGGCGGCCAAAAGACGTGCCAGTTTGAGGGCTGCTGCATGAACGCGCGCATCCGCGGCTTCTGCTACAAGCACGGCGGCAAGGACAACCGCCGCCGGTGCGCCGTCGACGGCTGCACGCGCAACGCCGCGTACGACCACAAGTGCATCGCCCACGGTGGCGGCCGGCGCTGCACGACGGAAGGCTGCTCGGCGCACGTGCGCAAGCAAGGGCTCTGCGGTCGGCACTACCGCCAAACGATGGGCGACGTCGACGCCAAGACGGTGCTCCTTTCGCCGTGCTCGGCGACATCGTCCGCGTCGTTCCTCGATGCGCTCTTCCAGGACCTCATCGAGGACGAAGCCAAGGAGGCGAGTTCAGTCAAGACCGAGCCCGTCTCGCCGCAGCAATATGCGTGGCCGGCGGTGCTGTGGACGGACGAGTGGCTCAAGGCCGGCGACTGCTGAGAAGAAGAAGCTGTAGCATTAGTACATGGAGTTGCATCACGTCTAGTTTATTTACCCTCAAGCATGTTCATTCCGATTCAACGCTCGTGGACTTACTCTTTTCTTTGCTGCCACATTTCGTCAGCCACCCACGATGACCGGGTGCTGTCTACTCCACGCCCAGCGTCCTTGGTGGGACGCTGATGCAAGTAGCATCGCGCCTTGTGCATCGCTGGCACTGCGTCATCGTACGTCCAACGCGTTCGGATGCCCGAGATGGCTCCGCTGCGCATAAGGCCAGCCAAAGTCGGTCCGCGCGCCGGGATCACCGTCGTCGGACCTAGACATTCGCGCATTCAAGTACTGTCGCACTCCAATACGACGTTTCAATTGGATAGACACACAAGTATCGTCTTGGATAAGGGAATACCGGCTTGCGTGGCTGGGATTGGATACTCTTTCGAAACGGATCTTTTGACACGTGGGACTGCAAAGTGGGATGAGGTCGAGAAACCTCTGGCAATGCATACTTGAGTTCATGGATCTTGGCAGGGCCATGGCCTTTCCTGAAGTAGTTCGCGGTCGACCTTGAAGTTGCGCGCAGGGCGGTGGTTCTTCCTTGGCCCGTGGCATGGAAACTACACGCTGCGAGAAGTGTCTTTCCGATGACGACTTTGAAGCAGGTGGCGCCAGTTGGGTTCGACCTGCGACTTGGCGAGGATTTCGCTGCTAGCACATCGCTTTGGCCTGCGCCTTTCTCGCCTGCATGGGTGTACCTGCATATAAACCAACCGTCCAAAACGCGTACATATCGACTACAGTATACATTGTATGAAGGTTCGCCGACGAGTACTGTAGTGTGTTCGAGTACAGTGCGTTCGACCCGTGGCGCACGACGGAACGTGCGTGCTGACGCGGCCAAGTTACTGCCCTCGCGTGGGTCGAATGATCTGCTTCAGGAATCCATGCTACCGCGCCCTTTCATTGCGCATCCTTTTGCTTTGCAAACCCAACCCGCTCTTCCATGCGCGACACTCATCGCGTCATGGTGGAGCACCAATACATGGCTATTAGGAGCATGGACGCCGGATTCAGCCAGCTTTGGTAAGATGGACGAACCTGACTCTGGCCGTGCATGAAAGTCTTGCAAGCCAATGACATTGCCGGTATCCACGGCAAAATGGATGATACCGTCGCCCCGCACCGTGAGACTGGAGAGGTGACTGCAACTCTTGATTAGCTCGCCCCATCGAGGCAACGTGCCCGCCCGCACACATCCGCCATGACGCTGCGAGTACCCTCCATCGCTTGGCACCTGGTCTATGCATGTACAGTACTACCGGTACATTTAACCATGTCTGAGAGTTTGCCTTCGTCCATGACGACGATAACGTTATGAGGAATATGTTGTGTTTGCTCTTTGCCGCCGAGTCGAGACTGAGTCCCAGAGGCTTCACGACGCGTCATCTCATGTATTAGCGGACGGCATATCATATCGATCGAAATCACGCATAGTACCGTACGTCAACTCGATGCATCTGCATGCAGCGGCGATGCTTTCCCGCAGCAGCTCGTTATTAAAAGGATTTTGGAACGCATGACGTCGTCTAATGGAACATGTGTACTACGTAGTAGCTAATAGCATTTCATTTGCCTTTCATACCTGCATCGAACATGGATGCTGCATCAAAAACGACATCGTGATAGGCACCGCCATTACGCTATGCAGCTGAGAAGCCGCGCAAAAGTGGATCGCTACTAGTACTACAATCCAAACACTTCACACTTTGTTACGAATAGACTCTATCTACATCATTGCGGAAGCCCGTTGATTGGGATACGACTCGTTGTGCATAGTTTTGTTTGCTCATGGCTTTAGTAGACTCTCCCCGAAGCGCGATTGTCTGTGGATCCGCCATCATGGAGGTGGGAAACGTCGTGATGCAGAGCTCTTAACTTCGGGAAGAGAATGCGCAGCAGCAAGCACTGTTAAGGGCTGAGAAGACGCTGATAACAAAGGACCATCGGTGGCCGACTCGAGCTGTACGGCAGGCGCTATTAAGCGAAAGATGAGATCGCTTCGGTTGATCCAGACCCTCTAGGAGCTGGTAGTGATGACTCTACATTCCCACGGGTCCGTGGACGTGCTGCCGCCAGTCCTACGGGCGTGCGACGCATCTCATGAAGTTCAAACAAAAGGTTGTGGCGTTGCAAGTTCAATTCAGCTCGAGAGTGGCTGGAGCAGTTCGCGACAGTGCAGGCGGTGGTCGTGCCTCGAGGTTAGCACAGTGGGGCAGAAGGATGGGTATTCTCACCAGAGATTGGAGCGGTGTGTGGGCATGATGACCCCTATGCCGAGCGCACGTCGGAGGAGCGCGAGAGTATGTATTCTTGCTGTCGATATTGAGCGACTGCTGTAAAGGGGTTGGGATCTTCGGTAGCGTGTGTGACGTAGGTGAGAGGCGAGACGTCGCGGCTTCGTGCTGTATGACAATACATGCAATCTTCGCAAACCGTACAGACAGCCAAAGGCTGTCACCCTCCAGCGGTGGACCCGCGAAGCCCGCTTGGCCGAACGGGCTACGACATGACGTCAATTCCGTTTGGGTAGATCGCGCAGAGGCCGGCCAATTGTTTTATGCGCACAGCTAGTTTTGAATCCGCCATCCGTTCGAGCACGAATCTGAGTGGAGAACCAAACCAGTGTATCAGGGGCCGACCCCTTTAAGAGGTCGAGTGAAGTAGGAGTTGCAAATATGCAATTTGACATGTAGCATGGCCAACATACTTTTTTCCTTTGCAGCATCTTCCCACGACGTCTCGGTCGCGTCTTCTCTCTGGTTGTTACGTCATACATCTACGATGCCTGCCCATTATGACGGTGCTCACATACGCGCTTGCCATTGTGGGCCAACGCGAGAAGATATCGGAATGCGTGCTGAGTACCCTACTGTACGAAAGGCACGACGTTGCTTGGGCGCGTAGAGAATCGAAACCGTACTTGATGCACTAGTGCAATAATCTCGTCTCTAATAAATGTCTTAATTCGACTTCTTCGTTTGCGCTTTGGCGCCCTCGATGGCCGCTTGGGCTTCGCTGACCCAACAGCCCTAAAGACGCCACCGAGTCATCGTCGGAAGTACGCTGCTTGGCGTCAGAGAAGTAGCTTGGCCATGCTACGTTTGAAAAGGGCCGTTTCCAAGCAGTGGAAGAGGTTTTCCGCGCAAGGACGAGCGATCTAGAAGACCAGTTACAAGATCAAGCAAAATCCAAGACCCAGGGGCAAAGCATACGAGCTGAAGCCATTCCCAAATTGGTAGTGGCAGTCAAATAAGTAACCCGCCTCGCCTACCACCGGCATGGCGGACACCACTGGCATGGCGGACACCAACACGGTTGTTGCCCCCAAGTATTAATAGTTCGGTCTTGATTGAGGAATGCACATTTTACGCTTCAACATCCTCTATAACATTGGATAGATGATCGGATCGCGCTTATTGCACGCGTGAATTGTATTGCAATATATATGCATTTTCACTAGTGCCCGCATATAAAGAACACCAGCAGCTCGGAACTCGAGCTCCCTTCTGAAACTCAATTTGGCGTGGTGTGCCTAAAGAATCTTTACCACGCCAAATTGAGTTTCAAAAGGGACACAAACAAAGCGTGGGCTTGTACATCGAGCGCACGAGTCGCAAAGCCCGCGGCTCGTACAAAAATGTATGCGTTGACCAGCTACTTATCCGACGGCGCTCCTCTCACATTACATATCGGATCTATTGATTATTAAGGGTTTGATCGGTTACAGCATTGCTCTTGGCGAGAGACTGCATGCGGACCTCTTTTGCGCGTTTTATCAGGCGAGGTATTAGCCATCGATGACACCATACACTCGACACGACATCGACTCGACGGTCGAGGCGATACCTGTACCCGGACGACCTGGCCGCTACTTGGTGCTAGTACTACTATAGCAAAACACTTATAGTACTCTACTCGAATGTCGGGATCGTTTCTCGAGATACAATGTACATTGTAGCAAGCGACCAAGCCATGCACCAAAAATTATTCATGCCATTCATGTACTGGAACGAACGCTTGCATATAAATGACATCAACAATGCTACGAAATGTTTGCGTTTTTCCAACATAGTTTTTTGTATGCCGAGCCAAGAAGAAGTTGCAGAGGGAGTTTGTTGAGCCCGTCCTTTTAAGGGCATCGATCCCTGTACCTCCAACTCTCTGAAATTGCGCGGCTTTTCCACTAGACCATACCGCTGGTCTAATTCCCGACGTTTCCTGTGGGTATCAATCAATGTTACACAGTGACAGACGTAAAAACCACCACAAACTGGCTCCGTGGCGTGGCGGTTTCTCGATCGACCTCGCGACCTTGGATACGCGTCTTCCACTGCACATGGTACATCGTCTTCCCATCTTTACTGTCCTCGTCTTACCCGCCCTGAAAAATGAGCTACTCATACACTAGTTTACAGCTCAAGCATACGACCAGTGCTAGACGCCTCGCAATCGCGTATGCAAGCATCCTGAACGTCAGGACGAGCATTGGCGTCGGCTCTTCCTACATTCAACACACAAATCGACGACTTTGGCAGTCGCCGCTAGCTCAAACGTGCCGTGCGAATGTCGAGTTTGGAGGATCTCCGACGCCTCCTTCGTTGCGTTCTGCATCGGCTGGACGACCACCGCGTTCTTGAGCGTCGCGTTCGGCTCGTCCATGAGAAGATGCACAGCGTACTGGCAAGTATACGGCGCCGCAGGGCAGCTTGGCCATCCCGCGCATCGTACCAGCGCGCCGTGTACGTCGACTGGCGCTACAACGGCAACGATTCGCGACAGCCATGCTCGTGCTTGATGTCAGCAGGAGACCCTGCCAACACTCGAGTGCTACGAATCATCACGGCTTGAATCGCACTTGCCGAGCCGCATTGATCTGCCTCGACAGCAACAGCAGCCAAAGAGATGGGCTTAGCGGCGGCTGGTACGTCTCGGGCAAGTTCTCGTTGTTCATGGCCGTTCACCGCTTTCGAATCAGCGCCGCTGACGGCTCGTTCTTGGGCCTACCGTGTTCGTGGAGGTGT